ACCGAAAGGTGAAAAAATAGGAGACGAAATTTATATAGGATCGATTTTATTTATAACTAGCTTTTGCCAAGGCTCCGCCCGCGTGTATGTTGGTTATCAGGGTAAACGGTAGTCTATGTTACTCACTGATAATGTACTCGTAGCTTTCCATTGGTGCAAAATTTAAAATCAGTTGAGTTGTTTAGGCGTAACAAACAGACAGCATGTAGAAGTGTATCAATAAGAAAATATGTAAAATATGTGTGTAAATATGTGTAAATTCATGTATACTTATGAAGCATTAATGGGCTTTAATAAAACGTTCTTGATTTGGTTGTATTTTGTATTAACATTTGTTAGAAGTCGGTTCAATTTCTGTTTTGAGAATGTTTATTTTTCATTTAAAATCAGGATTATAGTCTCCATCGTTATATTTTTCTGGTCCCCTTTAAGCGGTAAAATTGTAAGCATCAAGTTCTTTAATTGATTTTAAATTCAAATTTTATTCATCATCATCATTTCAACCGAAAGCCGTCCGCTGTTAGACATACTCTACGATCAAGGTTCGCCACAAAAACCGGTCCTGTGCTACCCGCATCCAACGGCTTCCCGTGGCGTTCACCAGGGCCTCAATTCTGCTATTTTATGTTCACGCCAATCCACTGTCATACCACTGACACGCTATTGAGATGCCATCGAGTGGCCATTGGCATTGGCAAAAACAGCAACGATAATTATATTAATTACGGTGTATTATATCGTTGTAGTTTATACATTTGTAACAATAAATGTGCTAAATCCATAACAAATTTATGGACAAAAATTAAAAAAACGTAATACATTTTCAAATTATAAGGAAATGATTTATTTATTTTTCCAAATATGGCAATCTTTTTGATATCACCACTGATGAGCCACTGCCATTCCATTGCCAGTGTAAAGACACTGAGTTAGTGTAGACTACCGATATTTATACCGATGCCAATGGCCACTCGATGGCATCTCAATAGCGTGTCAGTGGTATGACAGTGGCTTGGCGTGAACATAAAATAGCAGAATTGAGGCCCAGGTCGTCGCAGTCGCCACTCGAAAACCTTGTGGCCCCATCCGCCATTGTTTCTGCGAACAATGGGACCCCACCCACTGCCACTTAAGTAAGGCAATTCTTTGTTTGTATTCCATTGAACATAATACATTTTTTCTTTCTTGATAATGAAAATTTAAATAGCATAGCTATTGGAGTTAAATAAAATTTGTATGTTCGTTTTAAAAAAAGATTTATTTAGATTCTGTTTTTAAGTAAATACACTGTGATATTCTTGTTTATTGACGAACTTAGCATCAAATGCGAAAATAATAAACCGTTTTTGTTTATAAAGACAACATATAGTATTGTTAAAGCAAATTAACTTAAGATACGGGCAGACAATTGACGGGGCGGGATGGCAACGCGGCGTGAATATACTATAATGATAACAACACAAATAGATAAAATTGAAGTGTCTGTAATGTAGAAACAATAAGTTTATGTCATACTCACAGGGCTATTTGCACGATACACATGGCTCAAAACCAGTTTAAATATTTTTTGTCTGTTCGTTTGTCTATTTGCTCGAGGTAATCTTCAAAACGGCTTTCCCGATTTAGATAATATTTTACTACCAGGTAGCTGTCTATATGAGGAGCAACTTAGGTTATTCTTCCTCTCTTTTGATAGAATTTTGCCCGGACCGTGAATTGAATTCGAGGCCTCATGGACTGCAGTCGCGTACCGTACTACACCACTAAGGCAGCCCTTTTTGAAGTCACGGGTACCAGCTATTAATACATCAAAACTCGCTCACGCCGCGTTGCTGTCTCGCTTCGTCTGATGTCTGGCACGGCTTTTTAACATACAGTAACAGGGTGTTGATAAATAAACATTTTTTATAATAAATTTAGTAATCCATACCGTTAGTTACATACTAAGTTTCATCAGACAATCAATATCATTCATTCATTTACAAATACAATGTTCAAAAACAATAATATTTAAAATAGGAATGGAGTTGCAGAGTAAAAAACTTCGAGAATTTCCATAATACCATTTTTAGTAAACAGTATACATACAATTCACTTTACTCTATTTGGAATTTTTTAATACGTGGGTTATTCAAGACTCGCAAGACACGGAACAAAACATATATAATAAGAGATTTGTTTTGTGAACTGGAATGGGTATTTCGATAGCAAATCTCTTTAAGGTCTTGCAAAAAAGGTTTTTTTGATAGAAATAAGTATAAGTCAATTAAAAAAAAAGTGATATAATGGTTTCTTATGGTTAGTCGGAAAAAATCACTCTATTTCGTATTTTTAATTGACACGCATAGCACACTTATTTGACAAATTTATCATTTATGACGAATAATCATGATTTTTTTAAATGATTCTCCGCCCTACAATTCGTTTCTAAATTAACGATTCTTCGAATCGAAATTCTAATTCGTTATTGATTTGACAGAGTTACGATTTCTGCTATTTATATATACAATTAATTGAATGTAAATGGTTGTATCACAAATATCAAATGTAGCTACAATAAAGTGTTATTGTTAAGGTATACTGAGCTTTCATTTTCTTATGATATTTCAGAACGAACTAAAGAAAAACCTGCAATTGTAAAAGTGCTTTAGAAACGATACACGGCTTGCTATAATTCCTTGTCAACGATAACTGAAAGCCGTATTTTTCTATATATTTATAGCTCAACTATGCAGTTTTAATTAGATAATAAAATACTCCCGTGTCATTTTTAAATTGTAAAGTATTTTATGTTTAATTAGCTGTACATTACCACGCTTCGCTATGATATGTTGTGATTAATACATTGATGAGAAAGTAGTGTGAAAACTCACACGATAAATAGATAAAAACCATCTTAGAATCGGGTGGCAAATTGTGTCAAAATTTGAGATATAATATAGATAAGTAACTGCGACAGTTCCAGTTATGAAGCCATATTGTAATAAATTATTAAGTTATTTATATAAATAGTTAAAATTTACTAAGTTACACTTAACTTATTAAGATATAATTAGGCGTATAATTAAAGGATATTCAAGCTAAAATTAAGTAAGTAATACTAGAAATATTACGCAAGTTTTTTTTTTACAGTTTTTTTCTATTTGTTTTATATTGAACGGGACGAATTTGTAAAATCATTTTATATGCGTAAAACAGATAGAAATAAAAAAAAAACTTCTTAGTCTTATCAAATAATTATGATTCTCGACTTGTCGTGAAAGATTTGCCAAAGTAACACTTTAACGCCTCCTGCATCATGTTAACATGCAAATCGATCTTTTTTTTTAAGTTAACCTAAAACTTAATTTATACTACTGGCATACGATTTTCAGCTCTGTTTTAATTCAATAAGGTATTATTTTGTGTTTATATTTTAAAGTGCTCTTCCTCTCTTTTACACAAACGGACTTAATGAAGTCCACACAACATCTCCCGTTACTAGTAATAAAACGGAGATCATCTAGATTTGTTCAACACTTGGAATAACTGAATAAATGATTGTAATTATAGATATAAAAATTAAATAACTAAAGATAATGGTCTTCATTTCCTTCATTTAATCTTTAAGTATGTATATAATTTCCCGACATTTGCAATGTATTACATTGATTAGACTAACACATATTCGCTGAGACTATCAAATATCGGGGTTAGTCTCAACCACTAAGTGTAAGTTTATTACATCGCCGATAGAAAGATAAAGATATTTATTTAACAAAGACGGATTGTGTTTAAAATATTAATATATAAACCTACATATCAGGCTTTTCGTACAAAATATTGTAAGTATACAAAACGATTAAGTATTTCGAATAAGTACTACATTCTGTAACTAGAGGTAAGTATATATATATATATATATATTGCATATAAAGAAGGACTGAGTGTCTTGTGCTGACTTGCTTGTGCTGTGCTATAAATGTAACTTTAACTAAACTCAAGACAAGCAATTCGTTTTAGTATTTGTGTACATAAGCGCTTTCATTAATCCTTTATTATTAAGTGATTTTATTGAATATTTATTTATAATGAGAGGCCTATATTAATAAGTGGACTATTAAAGGCTGTCGATGAATTTTTTTTATTGATTTATTTAGATATTTTATTCGTACGAGGACATAAAAAACTTAGATTCTTGTAACTTAATATTTTTTGTAATTTGTTGACATTGCATTAGATTTTTTTTCGTGAGTGGTATTTGTATTTATTAAAGATTTACGGTTTTAATCCCATGTGTATTTCAGGGATAGTCGATTTAATTTGGTGCACACGTTCAGGTACAAAATTTCCAAATACATAACAATAACTTCACACATTAAACATAATAATTAATTAATAATAATTTATGTTATAGAAGGTGACATAATTTTGTAAATAGTTTGTAATGTCTAACAGATTATTTATGTTTATAAAAATCAATTCTTATGTATTTGTTACAAAACTTAAATTTATTTCTTTTGATTTGCTTATTTTGAGCTTAGTAAATTTTTTTTTTATTGCAGTTTGAACACTGCAGAAAAATCTCGAAGGTTGTAGATAGACACGTAACTGGTACAAAAAGTTACAAAAAAAGATTTTTAAATGCTATTAATAGTGTATATGACAAAATAATTGAACTACAAGTCAAGCTCGTGATGCCTGATTTACACTCTGACTTGTGTAAGTGACAAATAGTAGCTGCGTGACTATTGCAGTGACTATTTCTCACTTATGAAATCAGTACCGACAAAAAGTGACTACTCATCACTTACACAAATCAATGTTTAAATCATGAATAATATAAGTAAAAATGTGATGTTCGTGCATTGACTCTTTCCACCTACTCTTGATCACCCTTCGGTTTCAGTACGCTACGTACTGTTAACTAAATCCTGAAAAAACTTATATACTACTTAGTCTGATAGCAAAAACTTCCCTCCTTAAAATTGTCTTTCATGAATAAAGCTAAAATATTAGTCTCAGTTTTTATTTCTTCGTTTAGATAGTGCTTCGGCTTCCTCAATAGTGTCTGGTAGTCTCATGTTCTTGGTTTCTGGTAACATAAGAACCAGCATGCTAGATATTGATGCCATTCCAGCAAAAATGACTGTCGGCATTGATTTATGATACAGGGACTGCAAAGAAAAGTATAATTAGGTATTAATAATATAAGGCAAGTTTAAGATAACTCGTTCCATAATTTGATGTAAAAGATTTAATACAAAAATCCAGGCAACTTTGATTGCAGCGCATTCTATAAATTAATAGTCTAGTAATAATACTTTTAATTAATCTTTATTAGTTACGCCTTATTAGTTTTTAACCGACTTCAAAAAAGGAGGAAGTTCTATGTTCCACTGTTTGTTTTTTTTTTTTTACCAAAATTTTAGACGTTATTTGACTACTAAATTAGTTTTTTATTTTATTTGATCATCCCGCAGTTAATGATGTACATCCAGTCCTTAATTTATTTTACTAAAATAAGTGTTAATTTACAAAGAACAATAAATCTTATAAACTTACTAATAGCGGCGTTAATGGTGCCACAAGTGAGCCGATCCTTCCAGCCATAGAACACATGCTGATGAGGGTCTGTCTCATGTTTGTAGGGAATACTTCAGATACGTAGATGTAGACGGAGCTGTAGGAGAGAGTTACAGCCCATTTCGCGAGCAGGTACAGAGGAATTGACCAGTAGTCCGCTGAAAAAAAAAAGATTTTTTAATTTCCAAACAACACAATATTCTTTTTTACGGTATAGGGGAGTTTATGTATTAAGACGGATCACCTGATGGAAACCTGCAACTCAAGAGTCACGAGTGCTTTGTCGACTGGAATGAGGGAGGAAGGAGGTTGGTTTGCCGATAACTTCACTCACACGGTTTGCGTTTGAGTTTTTGAGTTTGCGTTTGTTTATTTATATATTAATGCATTCTAGAAAAAACATTTTACTAAAAATAATAGGTGAGTATGGCGATTTCCATATACCGTAAAACAAAACTATACTACAGCACCATCTATCGAACACACACTGTACTACGGAGTAACTGCTAATCCTGTATCGCAGTATGAATTATTCTCACGCCGATTAGCATATATTCAATTGCCCAACATCAACCATTAGGCCGCGGCCTCCCAGGTTGGAGGATCCTCCCTTTGTGTTGGAGGAGCATAACATCCGTTCCTCTACATGTGTGAGGAGGGAGACTCTTAATGGTTTCTTCGGGTGGCGGATACAATCGTTTAATATTTGACGGTGCAAGTATCAGCTTGCTTCATAAAAACGAGCTTTGTGGGAAAAATTACAGGGTTCACAATTCAGGCTTTGGTAATTATTAAACGCGGATAGTGTTCTTCATAAATACTTTGCTTTTTTAAAGTGAACTCCCAGATAATGGTTCAGAAGAATTGCCATTAATCAAATCAGATGAAAATACATTTGAGCCAAGTAATGATAGTATTAGAAATTTGCAGGGAATACCTCTATCTATCAGATAGGAAATCCTAAATATAACTTCACACATCTCACACACGGCAGTCTGATCCCAAACTAGGCAGAGCCTGTACTTAGGTACCCAGACTACTGGTCAGCAGTTTCAGCAGTATCAGCAGTTTATATATGTCAGAATACATAAATATTATATATAAGTAACACTCAGACTAGACATGGAAATTATTGCTACTTTTTAATCAAATTCAGTTGATGAAGTGATTGGTCACTGCTATTTCACATATGATTGTGATTTCGTCATAGACAAAGACAAATGGCATTATAGCAAGCATTAGTTTTGTTAATCAATCACAGGTGTAACGACATGAATAACTAATCATATGATTTGTCATATGCGTTTTGATTTCTTTCCATCCCTAACTCAGACTTAGAACAAATGATCGTGCTCATCACACAACATTTAATTTTGTCCTGGGTGGGAATCGACCCAACTAAAACAACAGGCCTATCTGTTTTGTTTGTTTGTTCATTAGTTATGTTAAAAAGTTGAATTTAAATAAAACTTAAAATCCTACTTTTAATTGACAGCCACCACATTAGGCATGCAAAAGTACGACAGCTAATGGTAATAATGGCGTCAGCTAAAGGTACTAATTTTAGTAGAACAAATCAACAATCCATATCTAATCGTACCCTTGACCATGATGTCAGAATAAAACCTATGTTTGCAACAGCACGTGTAATGTACGAAACACTAAAATACGGTAGGTCAAAACCGCTCTCCGCAGTTTTTTTACTAAAAATCGTTATGTGAATGCAAATTGCTCATAAATTGGCCTAAGAGCTTTTTTCAATCCGAAATGCAGTTTTACAGATTAACGAGTTCAACTAAAATTAAATTCATCAACTGTATTATATTAATACCTATGTATATTTGTTCATTAACTGGTCTAGTGGTTAGATAGTGGACTCGATGCCGCACTATGGCCATTTTTGTGGACAAATGGTTTGTTTTGTTTCTGGATGTAATTTAGTAGTAATAGTAGCAGTAGTCACAAACTCACTTACAAACTTCTACCCGCTTTTCACTCCCTTAAAGGATGATTTCTCTGATAAAAGCCATCCTATGTTCTTGCCCGGTTTAGATAATCGGTTTAGCGATTTAAGCGTGAAGAGGTAATAGACAGACAGAATAACAGAGAAACCGACAGACACACTTCAGCATTTATAAAAACTGAATTAGTGTGAAGTATGGATGTAGGGACTTAGTGATCTATCAGTATGTTTATCAACAGCCTAGTCACCAAAGAAAAGTCTCTATCTAGTTTGAAATCAGACCACCGTGTGTATGTGTGTACACGTGTACTGCCGTTGTGAGACTCATTGAATTTTAGAAAGGTCTTGATAGTTCTGACGAATTGGTAATACAGATGAATGATGATGAAAGCGTGACCCACAGCATAATGTATGTCCAACTTAATAAGACTAGACCAAAACTTTTGAGAACATTGCAGTTAGGTAATCTTCTGTTTAGATTAAACGCCAGTAAATAAGACACGATAGCAGACATTCCAGTTTTAGTATTACTCGTAGCTACGGCTGAGTGCGTCGCTTCTCTCGCATACGTCGTTTCTCCGTCGATTCATAAAGTAATTATTTCATTATTTCTAAACTTATTGGATTTTATAGTAAGATTTTTTTATGGCAATTCAACAGTCAGAAGTGTGTTGTCGTTTTTAGAGTTGGGGGATTAAGTTTTATCACAAAGCAAAAAAGCTACAAAGGAATTTCTTAACACCGCTTTTTCGTGAAGCCGTGGTATCAATCCCACGGTTTTTAGTTATAGGATTTCCTTTACAATAAAAAAAAACGTACTTAACATACTCGTTTTATATTCGAGCTTAATTTGAATCTCGGAAGTGCCAGGCCATTCCATCACATCCCATTTTTTATTTCGTGGCATTGCGTTATGATTTACGTCTGCTGCTGTTACTATTTTTCTCTCTAAATCTTTTTGATTAAAATTAGTAGTAAAAGTAAAAAAATCTGTTTCTTATCAGGGCCTTAGCTGACATAAAAGTATTACAACTGAATTTATAAATCCATACTATCTAATCTGATAGTATCACTGAGATTACGAAATCTTTCGATGTCTGTTAAATATATTATCCAATTTGTGTATAAATTATGACAGTGTCGAGGTTTTTGTTGCTCCAAGTCGACATAATCGACAAAATATAGTATGTCGGCTCGACCTTGCGTGGGTTGTAAAACAATAGTCTGCCTTTGTTATGCTTCATAAACATCCGAATGGTCATGATCTCTTCGAACAATTGTGAAATCAAAACATAAAGATTTTGTTTGTGTATATTGGAAGTGACAAGTACTTAGTGTCAGTTATATTGCTCAAGAGACGAGGCAACATTGGTAGGCCTCCTACACTGATTGTATCTGATTAAAGATACATCATTATCATCTTGCTGTTCATCCCAATATTATTTTGGTTGGTGCAAGGTGTAGCATTGAATGTACCCGTGGTGCACGCGCGGTTGCGGGCAGGCGCTAGGAGGGGTCCGGATGTCTTGATAACAGCAGTTCCCGAATCCCTCCTATTACAGGCGCAGAGTGGCACACCGTGTAGATTTAGTCGGTCCGATTCCTACACAACACCCTGCCGCGAACCCCGGTGGGATGAGGGCCCGAGGGGGTTTCCACACGTAAAAAAAAAGGTGTAGCATTGTATAGGCTTTTGGTTCGTTCTGCCACCTACTTGACGCAAACCCTCCTTTAACCCGTAAACACGATTAAAACAAATTTACTATTTACCACTACAAAACTATAGTCCTTTCCTCAAAAGGCCTATCCAGACCCTATACTGTACTCGCACAGTTTTATATAACTTTGTTTACGGACTTAAAAAAAAGACACCTCTGTGGTTTGTTTCGGCGTTTCTTCCCAGAGTGAGTCTTAGGAAATGCCGGCTCCTTCTAGCTATAAAGTCCGACTTGTAAAAATATCTGAAAAGATTTACTTACAGAAATAAATATCATTTATCATTTACTACCATTGATGTTCGTATTTGTATTTGATACTTCATACAGCATGTTATGACAAAAACAAATTGATAATTTAATGCGACAGGTTTCTACAATAGTTTGTAAAATCAAATTTGTCAACAGTATCTATACACATTCAGAAACGATTTATTTTTATTCTCATCTGTTACCAGTTTATTTGAAGATAAACCTATTGGACTCCTATACAATTGTGACAGATTGTAACAAAGAAAACAATGTGCATTGTTATTTAAATGAGGAATTATTCGTGTACTGATTGAGCGGATAGTCTTAATGATTATTGTGTGAAATTGCTGCTATAAGAAATTTATATTATGTATGTATAAGAAATGGTTCTTGTGTATTATATATTACTACCTGACCCGCGCAACTTCGTTTGCGTCTCTCAATAGTAATAAATTTTCTCCGTTTTTGAAACATTCTTCATTGGTGCTCCGCTCCTATTGGTCTTAGCGTGATGATATATAGCCTATACCCTTCCTCGATAAATGGGCTATCATACACTGAAAGAATTTTTCAAATCGGACCAGTTGTTCCTGAGATTAGCGCGTTCAAACAAACAAACAAACAAACTCTTCAGCTTTATAATATTAGTATAGATTATTTATTTTCGTTCGCGAACTATTTTTCTCTTGCCAGTGTCCCAACATAATCATTTTTTTGTTGAATACTATGAATTCTTTTAACAAATATTAATCATTTCAATTTCTCTTTGTTTCACTATCACGCTTCAATTACTTAACCGATCATGTTGAATTGTATTAAACTGTGTTCTTCAGTGCTTAGTGTCTCCCCCGCGGTCGATTTTTACCGAGGAGCGACTGCCATCAGACCTTTTCGACCCTAGTACGAAGCGATATCGAAATTCTGTAGAAAGACTATTGTGGTACTTTTTACGACTCCAACTATTCGTAACAATTGTTAAAGATGTTTGTATGGCAACCGGGACCTACAGCTTGACGTACTCAGCGAGGCACGGAGGTGTCTCAATATGTTAAGACATGGTCACCTATCTATAGACTGACCTAGCTAGGATTGCTTAACTTTGCAAATGTGTGCAACAAAAAACATTAAAAAAAAAATTTTAAGTCCCCTAAAAATACTATGGAATACCTCCTTTTTTGAAGTCGGTAATTAATTTATTATTAAAATATGTATATATTAACGCCATCAAAACCTAAAACGGAATTGATAAAAAGTTTTTGTAATACCTTCATTATTTTATAAAACAAATATCTTCATTATGTCATAAATTAAGTTAACCAATCTGTATAGTTGAATGAAATGTTTATTTACTGAGAAATGTTTATCTTAAATTACAACTAATCGCTGTTTACGACATCAAAGAATGTTACCGGGAGGGCATCTACATATGTAGGTCCAGGTCAATAGCGGTAGGTACACCTTGTTAAGGTCATATCTATCGTAATCGAACTTTTGAATTACTTAACAGAGGAAGTAAATCTTTATCTTTATTACAATAATTAGACCTATTTAGCAATAAGATATATTTTTAAATATTTGTGATTGATACGAAACACTATCTGTGCTCGCTACATTCAGCTGCGTTTGCCTATTACTGAAATATTACTAAAACAAAATGCAGCCTACTTTCTTTTGGATAATTAAACAAATATTAAAAACAGTTTATAGTTTAGAGATTAATCATTGATTAAAAAACTATAAGCGGTGTCGTAAGAGCCGACTAAAGGAGCAAACTACGCAGGACAACAGCACTGCAAAGAGCCCGTCTGGCCAGCGTGGTATAGTAGGCCACAACCTCCTTTCTAAGGAGAGGTCCAGAAGTGGACTATGAAAGGATGATGATGATGATAAAAGCTATATGGTGATACCACGGCCTCACAGAAAATCTATGTTAAGCAATTCTTTCGTTCCTTTTCACTGTGTAAGTGAAGTTACTAACCTAATTCCCTCCCTTTTGAGTCTATTGATTTGCATGTATCCATCGGTGGTCACTTACCATTAGGTTGTGACTTACCATCAAGTGATCCGTCTGCTCGTTTATCACTATACCAGAAAATAAAATCTAAAAGTTGTTTATTTGTTAAGGACATGACGATTTGAAATATTTACTAGTAATTACGAAACTACTACGTACTGATACTAGTAAAATTAAATACGAAAAAAGACTTAGAAGACCGCAGAATTAGTAATATGATTTTTCAGGAAATGTACTATAAAATGAACAGACTTTTAAGAAATATTTCCGTTAAATCCATTCTAATCTTTATTTAAGTACAACATTACAAGTAATATTTTAATACTAGTGGTCGCCTAGTGGTCGAAATTCAACCATAATTCATTTAATGTTTAAGTTTGAACTTTATTAGGGTTCTTTTGTCAAAGACTAATCGAAGGTTTAATCATGACTCTAATATACATCGACTAAATTTAAAAAAAAATGCTTTATGCACTTCTTTTACATATAAACTGTAACTGTGTCAAATTTCACGTTGATCCGTTTATCCGCAATTTTCCAAAAAAGAGGTAAAAAGTTTTCGTATTAATGAATAGATAATTTTTAAGCCCTGTGGAATAGTCGAGAAACATCTACTGCACGCGACTAGGATTTCTATATCTTATCGCAAGTCTTGTAACTCGCGTCATACTTAGCTTAGGCATTAATAGTATTTGTCTGTCTAGTTTATTGATATGTCGCATTTATATCGTAATTCTTGTTAACCTTATTATATAATTGTGTTTATATACCAGAAATAACACGTATGGGTAACCGACAGTCAATTTAAAGGTACATTTGAATGATGTTTCTAACATTGCACTGCTTGCACTGGCCGTGACAACAGATTACCACAAGGTCGCGTTTATTCCTTTTTATGGTCTAATTATAAAGCAATATTGTTGGTGCTTAATCTTTTTCCTCATGAAGTTTATTGGTCATCATTACGTAGATATTTACTAATAAACATGAGTTATTATGACTGTTTGTTTGACGTGTTAAGGACGAGATGAACTTGGGGTTGCAGTAAAATGGTATTAATGGATATAATTTTCTATGTAAATTGTTATCGTAGTATTGTGTTTCAAAATCCTATCTATTACATTGTATGCGAGGTAATAGATCAGATTAGATAGATTATTATCGAGGGAGAGCCATGCTTCGGCACGAATGGGCCGGCTCGACCGGAATGATACCACGGCTTCACAGAAAATCAATGTTAAGCAATTCTTTCGTTGCCATTCACCGAGTGAGTGAGGTTACCGGAACCCAAATCCTCCCTCCCGCTCGAGTCAGACTCCAAGGGCAGCAACGCACTTGTGACTTTTAAGTTGCAGGTGTCCATGGGCGGAGGAGGTTGCTTACCATCAGGTGACCCGTCTGCTCTTGCCCCCTTATACCATTAAGCGTGGTTCCATGTTTCCCTAGTCATATTTTCCCAGAGTACCTATTGCATAATTGTCGTAGGTATGTAAAGATTTAAGAACGGCCACTTATTATATAAATAGGTACGTAGTTTTTGTTTTTAAAAAGACAACTCCCGCATTAGGAATATATCCTGTGTCGCGGGGGACTTTACAAACATAAACGAAACGGACATAAAGAACACCCAGACTCAGAACAACAATTTGTGGATCACACAAAGTGTCGTCCCATGTGGGGTTTGAACCCACAACACTCGGCGCAGTAGGAAGCGGCGTGGCGACCGCTTAAACCACTGCGCCATCCATGCAGTCAAAGGTGGTCAGGTTGGTCAGGTTTTAGAGTCATATATTAGACCCTCTAAATTCCATAAAGCAGTACCGATTTTAAGAAAATTCATAATTATTAGAGCAAAAATAATAATTTGAAATTGACAAATTGAAATTGAACATTTGGCCAGTAAAGCTAATGTTATGCGTTAATAAAACTATGGACATTTAAAACCAAGACTGTTGAAACCATTGACCATGAAAAATCTTGATTGATTACAACTGTGCGCATACTTTGCGAAAAGTTATTAAAAAACATAAATCAGGATCAGTCTTTTTTCAACCTAAATTAAGCTAAACGACCACATTCGCCTGTAATAAACTGTAAACACACTAATGGTTTAAGCGGTCATCTCGCAGCTATGCAGCACGCAGCTTGCTCCTATGCTCTGAGTGTTGTGGGTTCGATCTCCACATGGAACAACACTTTTTATGATCAGCAAATTTTCGATCTGAGTTTGGGTATTCTTTGTGCCCGTTTCATGTAAGTTTGTCAAGTCCCCTGCGACACAATATATTCCTAGTGCTGGAGTTGTCTTTGAAAAAAATAGTAAAAGACCTATCTAAGAAATATAAATATAAAAAATAATACTTACATCTCGGCAAGAAAGAAAACAGCAACATAGTTATTCCACATATGATAAAGGTAGTCATCAATGTCCTCTTCCTTCCATATTTATCCAGAACGATTACAACCACGATGTACGCCGGAATCTCGACTAGAGTCACCAGCATAAAACTTACGTAGCGATTACTGCTTAACGACACAGAATTTATTGATAGTCCGTAGTACACTAAAGAGCACGTCATCCACAAAAACGAGCAAATAATCAACCTCTTCCATATGATACTAGACCGTACTGCTTTATAAAACTGAGATTTTTTATCTGTGGTTTGACTCTCTGCTTTCAGTAATGGATCTCCTAAGGATTCCAGTTCGAGTTGCCGTGGGTCTAAATTATTAATTTTAGCCGCTTTTTTAAGTACTGATATAGCTTTCTCTCTTTTGCCTTTGCTGAGTAGCCATCGTGCACTTTCATTCATGAACCAGATATAAACAAGAACTATTACAGCTGGAGCGTACAGGATCATGATATATGTTCGCCAGTTGTCGATGCACCAAGCAAGGAGTGCGATCAATACCACACCAATCACGAAGGTCATATTACACATAGCTGAGACGAAAACTCGCTGCTTAAGGCCAACTAGCTCGACAACTGTAAGAAATAATTTAGCATTAATATGGTGTCATCTGCGAGAAAATCTATAGTCATTTTTCACTTTTGAGAATATTAGAGGTTTCAAACAAAAACAAAGAACGATTAATTATTTCACCAGTTAATAGCCTTGGAAACTTATAATTTTGAGTTAAGACTTGAACCATAGAATTTTGAGCTAAACTTTTTGTAACAGCCTAAATACATCGCGGCAAGTTTGTCAAAGTTGCAAAGTTCTCAAGTTTTGAACTAAGTAAGAAAACTTGGTGGGTTATCAAACTTTCTCAGAATCTTAGTGTTTTATTCTAAAGTATAATTTACAGAGAGGATTCCTTTTTAATATCTCATTAGATGTAATTAGATATTACTGTGAAATAAAAAAAGAAGAAAATAATGAAAAAGAACTTACTGAAAACGTATGCCGAAGGATATAGTCCTCCACCAAAGGCGGCTTCCAAGAAATGCAGCGCCACATACGTCAGATAATTTGGCGAGAATGCTCTGGAAAAGCCGAATAACAGGCTGGATCCCGCCGCGAAGCCAACTGCCACCTTCCTTCCGAAGCGATCTGAAACCGCTCCAGTGAACAACATGGCTACGAACATGCCACAATTGTGGATGGTACCAACCAACGCTCTTTTCCAATCCTCGCAACCTAGACTGAACTGAAAGACGGATACTTGTTAGATGATTGAACTTGAATTGCCTTGTAACGTAAGTTAAGTAACTCGTTGCCAGCTGAGAACGTCTTATTGCCATGTATGATTACTTTGATGTCTTTTAAGCCAAAGTCCTAAACTTGTCTCTAATTAGTGAAAAAATTGGTCTGTTGAATAATTGTATCAGTACTGTCACTGATAGAAATACACCTATAGTTAACTTTATGATATCCGGACAGTTTGTAGACTGTGAGATGTGAAACCTGGCTGTATTTAATGCACCAACTTAGAAAGGACTTTAAATTCCCTCTATTGCGAGAAATTTACGTCATCACAAAAACTATCGCCGCTGATGTTCTAACTCAAAACTTTAGAATCCGTAACAGTTAGGTCTAGACTTCAACTTACCTCTTTAACAAGTGAGTTGTTATTTTCATATATATAAGAATCACATAAAATTGTTTCATTTAAGAAATTTTCCCTTAAGCACTGGAAGTCACTGCCGTTCAACGGCTTGTACATCTTGCAAGATTCCAGCTTGCCTAATTTTTCATTCATTGGTATGGCGTAGCTCTGCCACGAGGTGTCACTGAAGTGTTCACAGCCATTCACTTCGCATCTGTTGAAAAATGGGAGTTATTTAATGTAAAGAATTGGTTGGAAACAATACTCAATAATAAGATAGTTTTAAGTAACATGAAAAGTTAAAGTAACATTTTAGTTACAATAAGAAAATAGATTATGATAAATCAATAATCTTAGGGTTTTTTTTTTAATTTACGCAATTAACTTTAAAGTTGGCATTGTAACCTTTACAATTAAGTGACGTTCCGCACAAATAAAAATAATTTTCCTGTTCATGAAGTTCGAAACTTATACTTTTTTGTAATAATTTAATAAGATATTGAGATATTTTCAGTTTACCATTTACCGCAAGCTAAATCTTTCCTAGAAATAATTTATTATAAGACGTTCCCTCCAGTAATGGCATCCAAAGCTGTACAAAGAATCCAAATTTAGATTCACGTCCACGGTCATTGACTTTTATGCAACAAATTAGATTTATTTACCAACGGACCTGTTATTTTGGTTACAGTTAGTTGCAGTTGACAGTTTCGTCGCTTCTGATTGTAGGGTATATTCGGAATCAGGCTCCCACTTGAAACACGACAATTTTATAAATATACTCGTATTTCTTTCTTTCTTCGAAAATGCAAGTATAACGAACACAAAGCATGTTGAGTTTATTTTTAAACTAATACTTGTTCCTTTTGGAGATCCAACAAGTGCACATGCAGTTGCAGTTAGTAAAATGATTTCTTGAACTTCTGCACTGTCATGATCAGAATGGTACAATGTACAAGGTAGGATGCTTTGAAACCCTTTTTAAGAAAATTTAATTAACTATGGTATGTGCAATTTATTATAGTACTAGCTGGTACCCGCGACTTGGAACGCCTTGGTGGGTTCGATACCCGGACCGGGCAAAACTTTTAAAGGTTTTCCTTATATAGACTGCTGCCTGGTAGTAAAATATTATCAAAATCAGTCCAGCAGACAGACAGATAGAGACTGACAAAAAAATTAAACTGGTTTTTAAGCATAGGTATCCTGCAAATAACCGTGTGAGCATTAAAAAAAACACTATTTTGACATTACAAACAGACACTTCAATTTTATTTTTTTTACAGATGTATTGTTTATATTTTATTGTGGAAGATGTGTAGAAGACAACACATTTTAATGAATTTGTTATGTAAAGTTTAAAACATTTACATTTTTACATTTCTCTACCATTACATTTCTATGTGACCGTTGATAGATGAGTATAGATTCATAAACAGTAATTCACTCTTTTATACTTTAACAGCAATTATTTTTTCATGCAGTGCATTCATCTTTCCCTCGTCCTCTAATGTTGCACCCCTCAACTTTTAAATCTTATTGAATACACCTGATTAAGCTAATATTTTCTCCATCACAATTGGCTACTGTAGTTTTTTAAGAATACTCGTAACTCGCCGAGGGTATCACATTATTAGCATTTGTGTTAATCCCTCCAGTTAAGCTAACTGTTTGTTTCAAGAGGCAACTTGAGCGTTTTGAATAGTAAAACTGCATTACTCAAAAAGGAACGCTTTGACACATTTTTATCTCACTCGTTTACATTGAAAATGAAGGGGTGGTATTAAAAAGCATAAGAATATTGTGGGCTTCAATTAGAGGGTGATCGGTTTGCCGTCAGAGCTTCATCCTTGTAGTAGTTAGAAGTTAAAGTTGTTAATAAAAAGAGAACAGCAACTCACCTATATATTTGCTCCTGAGCTTCGAAGATAAACCCACATTCGAAGAAGCTGCTGAGCAGAACAGGAAAGAGAAGTAGCACATAGTTCAAGAGATTGTACCTCCCGTATGGACCCAGACTGTCCAATATTGAGTCCAAATTGATTTCCTTCTTCATTTCTTCCATTTTCAATGCTGTACCTGAAAAGAAAGATGTACTGTTAATTTTTTAAAATTAAACTTAGCAGGTTTATAGGATCGCATTAGACTGCCCACTATTCCATGAGTGGGGTTTATGGTGAAAGCACTGAGCACCACATACATATAAATTATACTAATATATAATGACAGAAGGAGGGGCTGCTTCCAAATTTAAGCAATTGTAGCTAGGTCAGTCTATGAATAGGTGACAATTCTTAACACATTGAGACCCTCTGTGCCTCGGCGAGCACGTTGAGTTGTCGTCGGTTCCGGTTGCCATACAAACATCTGTGGTAATCGTTACGGATACTTGAAGTCCAAAAAACAGTCTATCTACAGAACATCTATATCGCCTAGTACTCGGTCTGTAGAGGTCTGACTGCAGAAGAAGTTCACCCGTGTCGTAATAGTTCCAAAGCCGATCCAAACCTAGTTTGGGAAAAGATTCAAGGAAATAAAAACATAATGGCAGAAGTATATTGTAAAAAGCTTTTAATGATAATTGTAATAATCTCGGAGATACAATTTCAACTAGTCAATCGATGTTCATGATTATGCTGATAGCTAGATAACGTTGATTGCAAGTATTATAGTTACTGACTATTCGTCACTTTTTGAACTCGCCCGAACTGCTCAAAATAATATTTGCCTCAATTTTGACATTTTCAAAGAGAAGAAAATAGTCTCAGGAAGTGGTACAATAAACTTTTGAGCATTACAATAAACCTTTGTAATAAATCGCCGGCGTTTTATTACAAAGGTACAAATAATATTTCGTTGAGGATTTAGTGAGACTAATTTTCTGTATATAACTTAAATAATAGTCCGAAATAAATCTTTTTTAAGATAATATTTGGCAATGTTAAGTAATGTACTAATTTTAGATGAAACAATAGTAGGCACATGGCCTGTTTATGTCCGTAAATGATGGTCATAAATAGTAAATATAAATGGAATGTGCAACACATACATTTTTTTAACTTTATTTTTATAAATACTGGTGAAGTTACATTTTCAATTCACCTGTAAAAAATATTAAATGAATGGAGGATAGACATTTATAATACACTAGCTTTTACCTGCGACTCCGTCTGCGAGTGATTATGGAGGTAAAAAGTAGCCTATGTTACTCGCTGATAATGAAGCTTTTATTAGTAAAATAATTCTTAAAATTGGTTCAGTAGTTTAGGCGTGATAGCGTAACAAACAAACTCACTTTTACATTTGTAAAATGAAAAACCTTCCTTGAAAAATTATAAACGTCATCGTGATGCGTTGCGTGGAGTGCGTGCGTTTAGGATGAGTTAGTGGATATATTACATTGTTATTCTGCCTAGTTAGGGATCAGTTCACTATCGAAGCATATCAAGAAGTTGCATTGTGAATGCAAATTAGTAAAGACAATTACATAGTAATAAATTAAAATTTATTAGCTATTGTATTGTATCTGCATACAACTCTATAAATCGTACTGGTTTTAAAAGCAGCCAACTTGTGCCAGTTCTACTTAGCTATTCGACGTAGGTTTTTTATTATTTTATTGTAGTGTTAATTTTCTTCTTATGCAGTACGAGAGTTATAATTAAAAGTGGTTACCCAGAGATGTAAATGACCTGAACCTTTTTTGATGGTATAGGGCGGGAAAACGTGCAGACTGGATATCTGTAAGTGGCTGACTGCAGCCGTCCATGGATATCTACAACTCGAGAGGCACAAATGCATTGCCACCCTTTAAGCTTAGTTTGAAATTTGACGCTATGAGAGCGCTGCAGCGTCGAATTTCAAACGAACTTAGTTTGAAGTTCGACGCTGTGGCAGCGCTAAGACTGTTTCCTTAGATATTAGCACTACTGTAATCTTTAACTAAGAAAGGCTTACAAAAATAATCTTTAATAAACTCATTGTAGACTTTCACGGCCTTTTAATAAACCCAACATAGAATCAGCCATCTAATCAAGTCTTATCTTAATTGTATGAATTAATCGTGAAGTGGCCACGATTATTAATAGGTTGATGACCTCTCATTGACCTTTTAAATTTAAACTAGGAAAGGGTTAAAGGACAGTGACTTCTGAATCGTGAGTCACTGAGTGACAAAATTGTATTAAAACAGTGGGCTCAGTGTAAGTTCATTTCACATTAACTTGCTCTCGATAGTTATTGGTGGGGATTTCAGTGCTGACCAATCGCAGCGCCGAACGCCGTCACCGTAACGATCGAGTAGACGTGATATGAACTCGCACTTAGAGCTCTAAATAGACTATGATGCCAGATTTATTTATCACATTATAGTGCTGTTTTAACCCCGTTATGTGCAATGGGAGAACGAACGCTTTATTAGCCGTCTTCAAGAAGAAGAAGGTATAAACGGATAATATAGTCATAAGTTCTAAATTTATTATAACTTAGAAGGTTTTTTTTAACTAAAAAACCATAGCCGCTCCCTCATTTGATGGCAACATATAAATGGTAACTGTATTGTGAGTTATCGCACCTTAAAAAAATCTGCTAATAATTGTTTAACGAATACGGTTGAAATTCGAACAAAAAGCTAAAAGTCATGAAATTAATATAAAGTTTACAATTTGTTAGAGGAGTTTAATGGTTGTTGTTTATTGGCTTACGATACTTTATTGGCACACTGAGGTCAAACATAATAGTTAAAGGCTCCTTAGAGTTTAGGTGTTGCACATTTATTACTTTTTTATGGCATGGCAAACGAGTATTCACGTCACCTAATAGTAAGTATGATATAATTTAATACCTAATATAAAGAATTACTCCTAAAAAATTAATATTTTCGAATATTTGAATGAGCTGTATTTTTACCCTTTAATTCTTACTCTTTAAAGTGAAATATTCAGAATGAAAGCGTTTAACCTTAGCATATAACCAATTCAACTAAAAATCTTGAGAACAGCGTTTTCAAATAAACCTTATTTTTTAATTATAAAAAGGCAACGCCCGCATTAGGAATATATCCTGTGTCGCGGGGGGACTTTACAAACATACATGAAACGGAAACAAAGAACACCCAGACTCAGGACAACAATTTGTTGATCACAGAAAGTGTCGTCCCAGGTGGGGATCGAACCCACAACACTCAGCGGAGTAGTAAGCGTTGTGGCGACCGCTTAAACCAATACGCCTTCCGTGCAGTCTTTTCATTCAATTCTTTCAGATAATTCAGTTAACAATACAGACTTATTATTTTCCATGCACATAAAAATGGAGTTACTGAATAATAGTTAGGTTTAATGAATTAAAAAAAAGTTTATTAAAAAACCAATGGCACAAAGCCAAGCTAATGGATAGTTGAAGTAGACAATCGTATCGGATTGGAATTAAAAGTTCGAACTAATTAATTGCGATGCTGGTTGGCACCATAAAACGCTGGAACGAATATTGCCCGCGAGAAAAATCAATATTGGCAGTTATATGCGGGTAGACTTATTATCATGGGTAACGATTACGTTTTTTTTTTAAATTTGTAAAATGTAATTCTTAGAAACTTATACGTGGGATATGGAAATTATTGCTACTTTTAAATCATAATTATTTTATGAAATTATTGTTTTTAGTCATTGCGATTTCACTTGCGATAAATCACTACTATGATTTGGTCATAGACAAATATAAATGCCATCAAAACTGCTTGTTCTTTTTTATCAAAGATTACGACCTTTTTTTTAGATTTAGACGAGTCTGACGCTGGCGTAATCATAAGTCGCTATGGTATAGTATATTAGTCACTGGTATGATAATATGATTTATCATAGGTGATTGTATTTTATTCCATACCTATGGGATACTGTATTTATTTATTTTTTTCGAGTGTATGAGGTTACCGGCTGGTTTGCCTACCTTGACTTTGTATAAAAATTGTCTATAAATCATTGCTTTTTTAAAATAATGTAATCATTTGTACATATTCTTCGGGTCCGTTCTTGTAAAAAGAAAGCATTGTTGCCCAATAAAGTTTATTATGTTCTCTTCTACAATTATAGGAATTACCTTGCTCTATGTAAACACTATCCAGATGGATGCTAATAAAATTCTTACAAAGATAAATAATAACCTTGACCAACTGATAAGAAGACATTTAAATATAGGTGAGATCTGATAATATGTAGTTACATAGCGTAAATACGAAGGAAAAATTTCATTTATAGAAATATCTACGTATGGTATTATTCTGTATATGTACGAAAATTAACGCGAACACGTAATACTACACATCTTTGAGATAGTTAGGAAACACTGTCGGTGAAACATGTTCGAAACGTCAGCCAATTAAATGAAATTCCACGAAAGAATTGATTAACACCGATTTTCTGTGAGGTCGTGACAAATATATACATATACACAATCCATATAATATATTAGATATTAATCCAATGAGGATGCAGCTTCTTTGTGTGTGAGGAGGGTTCATACTTTTATAGTTATTAATTTCCAGTATAAGTTAAACTGCCGTCGTGTCAGACTTTCTGAGGGCCGAGTGCAAGTTTATTTCACATCGACGCGCTCTCGACGGCGAGCGCGTTTAGCGTTGCGATTGGTGGAGATTTCAGGTAACGCTGTCACCGTGACGATCGAGTACAAGTGAAATCAACTCGCACTTGGCCCTCAGTTCCATGCCAATTTATTATACATTTTACTCTACACTTTTAGATTGTTATAGCCGTTTCTATTTACCTATTATTTGAAAATTTTAGCTTATGACACTTCTTCCACATAGGAACAAATTTTTCACACGAGGAATGTGCAAGTTCTCGATATTTGCTTAAAAATGGATTTAAAGAATTTTCTTTACGCATAATTATAGGTATACATCAATAACAGCCTTTAATAGTCTCCTGCTGGACATAGACCTCTCCTTAGAAAGGAGGTTATGATATATAGGAGGGCAAATTGTCCGTGTGGTGACGGATTAGAAAATGGAATGTTACCACCCCTATTCATTCCGTAGGTGTCGTAAGAGTC